TGTACATAAGTGTTTTTCCAGAAGAGCCAGAATTTATAGTTCCAAATTTCAAAATGCAGTCCAATTATTACTATACTTAATTTTACCTAAAATGCAGTTTTTTACGAGGTATCAATAAACCAGTAAAATAAACTCAAAAGCGATCACTGAGCTGCGGGCGCGGCGCCTCAAAACTGGCTACGCCGTGGCCCCCCTGCCCCCACTCATGGGTCAAACGTTTGATTTTCTCGTTTCGAATGGGCCCCTAGATGCCTCTCTGAGAGCTGGATAGGTTTTCTTCATTAAAGCGCATTTTAGATCCAAAAAACGCATTTCTCGCAGATCAGACGTTTTCCCGCCCATTTAAACCAATGTAATTTTGCCTCGTAGTTTTGATCCCTTTGAGCATCAGCTTAAAAAGCTTTAAATTGGCTTAAATTTTATACAGCCTATTATTTTCATAGATAGCATCGATTGCCACCCGGACCTCGTCGATTTTCCGACATGACGAAAATAAGCCGTACCCTAGGGGTCCACTGTATTTATTTTCAATACTTATCATCTGTTAAGCAGTGCGATGGTGTTTACTCTCTTGAAAAAACATTTCAAGGTTCCGCAGAAGCTAAAAATTTAATCTGGTTGTAGCTCAGTGTTAAGTTTTTGGGGATAAAACATTTTGTATTAAGGCAGGTCGGAACTCTATACCTGTATATGGTAATTTTTATCATCATAGCTGACCAGTTCCTTGCATTCCGCAATTTTTAGTCCGTAAAGGGACTCGACTAAGTCCGGAAGTTCATCATCCGTCACGGGAGGTTTTATCTCTTCTCCCGGTTTCAGCGCCTCTGCCATTTTACCTGTCGTGATAAAAAGTAAAAACAACACGATGAGAACCCTATCAGAGCTTTATACATATCGACGGTGAAACTACCAAACCACGTATCTCGTTTGCAGTGTTTAAAAATCTACGCTCACATTTTATTTTCTTGAAGAAGACCAAATCNACTTATCATCTGTTAAGCAGTGCGATGGTGTTTACTCTCTTGAAAAAACGCATTTCAAGGTTCTGCAGAAGCTAAAAATTTAATCTGGCTGTAGCCCAGTGTTTAGTTTTTAGCGATAAAACATTTTGTATTAAGGCGGGTCGGAACTCTATACCTGTATATGGTAATTTTTATCATCATAGCTGACCAGTTCCTTGCACTCCGTAATTTTTAGTCCGTAAAGGGACTCGACTAAGTCTGGAAGTTCATCATCCGTCACGGGAGGTTTTATCTCTTCTCCCGGTTTCAGCACCTCCGCCATTTTACCTGTCGTGACAGAAAATGAAGAGAACACGATTAGAACCCTATCAGAGCTTTATACATATATATGAATACTTATTACACGGTGTAAGCATCAGAGTCGCACAGCATTTGGACCGTATCTTGTAATAAGGAACTATAAATTCTGGTTCAGTTTAGAAACACCGTATGCACCATTAGTTTTCCTATTCACATACGCTTTTTCACGGATGAACCAGAAATGGTAGTTCCCAATTGCAAAATGAAGTCTAATTAAAGTTCATTTGCTTTGATTTCATCAGTGAACGATGCCCGTGCATCGGGGAACGTGCTAAACGCCAAAGTTCAAAATTCCATGCTATGCACCCCCTATGAGTCTAGTCTAGTCTTCATTTGTCCTGACCCAAACTGTTGAAAAGGTTGTAGGTATCTTGGCAATGACGAAGATTATGCACAGGTGATGAATGGAGGGCATGTTCTATCATTTGCCATCAGTGAAATGTTCATCCCCCTTTTTGGAAAATTTCGGTCTTATATATAAGAATGTATACATACATTCTTTCAAAATTTTAATACAATTTTAGGACTTTTTTAAACTGAAGAAATCCGAATAACTGGCCCTAAGAACAAGGAAACTTCAGGAATAAATGGAATGAGGGACGGCAAAAGCAAAGAAATAAGGTAATGAGTCACACTAAAACTACGCGAGGGAACTTTGTAACTTACCAAATTGAGGACTTTTTTGGTAAAAAGGGCATATGACGCTTAAAATGCTGTTAAGATAGTGCAATTTTTTACGGCGCTTGTGCCAGATGGAATTCCTTCACCGTCGACTTACCCCCTTACAATAGAGAGGAAAAACTCAGATCTAGGGAAAAATGCATTGCAGAACTGTCGGATGAGTTATTTACATTACAACTGGAGAATACTACGTTGCACAATCCTAGCAGCATTGGAGGTCACATACGCCTCTTTGCCAAAAAATGCCTTATGAGTATGTTATTTTTGCTGATTGACATTTTTAGTGTTAATGGGTGGGATCATGCAAACCACAAATCTTCCGTGCTAAGAAAAAACGCCGTAAATCCATTGAGATTTTCCTGCATTTTTTGAAACTGAACACTTTATAAAATAAAAACTGTTTTACCNTGGTATGGTCATGTCAATAGGATGACGGAAGAGAGGCTGCCAAAAAAGATGCTTGATTGGGTTCCTCCTGGGAGGAGACGTAGGGGACGCCCAGTGAGAGGTTGGCGACAGGGGGTGTTAAATGAGATAAGAGATTGTCAACTCCCTGATGACCTGTGGGAAGACCGAGCTTTGTGGCGATTAGGCGTCGCACAGCGCCAAAGAGCGCTATAAAAGCGACTCATATATATATATATATTTTTGCTGATTGACATTTTTAGTGTAAATGGGTGGGATTATGCAAACCACAAATCTTCCGTGCTAAGCAAAAACGCCGTAAATCCATTGAGATTTCCCTGCATTTTTTGAAACTGAACACTTTATAAAATAAAAACTGGTTTACCCATGCACTTGAGGTGCATGGGTAATGGTGCTTGGGTGCATTTTCATGTTAAATTCTTAATAGTATTCAAGAAAGAATTCTGTAAAAACATTGAACCAAAGTACACAAGTTTTTCTGCTATGATACATTGTTTCCAAATAATTCAAAATGGCGTTTACCGCGTTTTTGCGTTGCACGGCAGAAATATACGCATTTACACATGAGCTTTGCGGGTGGGTGAAACATATGCGCAACAGGACATATCCCGGAATATCCCTCGCTCTAAAAATAAAGATTCCCCATTACCAAAGTGAAGACGCAACACCGCCGCGCCGGTTTTTGATGGAGTTCTTCTGGCCGATCTGATGTCGCAATCACACACTGAATGTGGGAGCTGAATGCGGCTTGAATGTGGAAGTCATCGGCCTGATGCCTGAATTTTGCGCGTGTCACACTAAATTCAGCAACGATTCTCAGCGACCATCGGATAATGTCGGATTTGTGTGAACTATTCGAATAGATTTGATACACAACTGGATGAAAATAACTCGATTTTGCAAAATTTCAACTGTTGAGCGATGACTGTTAACTTCCATATTTTTTTTTGGGGGGGGGGGAGTTTTGTGGCTTCTATTCTTTTGTTCAAATTTCTTGGGAATCTACAGCCACAACTTCCATATTCAGCAGCCTAATTCAGAGTGTGATTCCGGCAATAGGTGGGACTCTCGATCAGAGTTGGAGCTCAAATCGGAATTAATGCCAGCAGATCGAATTTTCAACAAGATTCTAACAAAGTAAAATGCTCTCTGGAGACGAACTCGGCTTTTAAATAATGCATCGAGCGTAAAATAATGTAAGAATACGAGAAGTTTGGTTTAGACATAACACGCAACTATTGTAACTCCGCGGTGGGCAGGGTTGCATACTCTCGAGGAAAACACTCATCGCACTAGTACATTATCGCGAGACTTTTCTTCACATTTTCGAACAATTTTGTCCGAAATTTAATCTCAAATATCTAAAAATTCCATTAAAAAACATGCATAACTCTTCTCAAGAATAAACAATTTATCGAGGGAAATCTGGCAACTCTTGAATGTTCATACGGCGTTCTTCCTTGGCACGATAGGTGAGCTGTACATACGACGCGAGCGGCAGATCTCAGATTTCGCCCACAAAATCTAGCGTATGCAACCCGGTCCACCGCGGAGTTAAAATAGTTGCATGTTAGGTCTGAACCCAACTTCACACAATTTTTTATTCTTCTACGCGTTGTTTAGAATTGAACGAGCGTTTTGCTAGCTGTACGATATTATGAAATAAAGGCTGAAAAATCGGATAAAAATTTGCAAGAGGATTAATTTCGACTTTTTGATCACAGTCTGTTATTTCCGTCACAATAAAACGAAATTGCCGAGCGACGGCGGTGCGCTTTCCATTGCAGAATTTCGTTCATGAAATTTAGTGGGTGTTTTCCGTTCTCAGTTGATAATTTTGTAAATGACGTTCACAAGTGAACCAACTTCTTCCGCGGAAATCCGCTTCAGGGGTCACTCTTCGTTGTTTTTCTCACGAATGAACGTAACTAAATTTCAATGTTGCCAAATTCTTCGGCGCAAACTGCATTATTACTGGGAGAATTCTGAAAATTTCTAACTAAAGATCCCGCCAATTTTCCTTCTGATCTCACGCAAAAATCAGACAAATTTTTCACGAAAATTAAGCAGGGTTATTCCCGTAAAAAATGAAATCGATTGAGACAATTTTGCAACATTGGAATGGAGTTGGGTTCCTTCGAGCGGAAAAAGGTCTCGATACACGATCAAATTCCCGAACCAATTACCATCAAAGTGTCGGGAGTCATCAGTCTTAAAATGATACTTTGCTTAATTTTAAAATGAAAACTTGGCAGAAATGCCTCGTGCGGCAGGGAACGATGAATGATGCCACTCCATTCTGATCAAAATTTGACGGCCCGTCCAATCTTGATCAAAAAGGACTGTTGCATGGTGACCATCAGTCATCAACTGGTCTACTTTGATCAGAATTGGTTCGGAATTTGATCGTGTATCCAGACCTAAACGATGTTTCATGTTTCCGATACAAGCATCGATGAATTCCAACGGTGAAACCACGATACCGTACGCGAATCATCCAACACTTGATCAAACGCGTGCTTAACAGGTAAATAAAATTCGCTCAATCCGAACTACTTATCTCGAACTTACTTTTTTCTAGCACTTCCGAGAGACGAACAAAGCCCGCTTACTTATCGCGAGGGCGCGAACCAAAACACTAACACTTTCTCGCAGGTCGTCGCGCGCGGGAAGTGAAACCGCCCGAATACGAAAACGTTATTCCACAGCGGATCTCCGCGTGATGGGGGGAGGGGACGTTGCGTTGNGGGGGGGGGGGGGCGTTGATCGATATCAAAAGTTGTATAGCGGCTGTGGCCGGGGCTACGACAACTCAATTCCCGCTCGTGTGGGGCACTGTTGCGGCCGTCTCCCCGGCGATAGGCCCCCCTTCGCGGCGCCGCTTATCAGCACTTATCGGTGCCGCTCAAGAGGTCCCGATAAGATCGCCTCACCGTTGACAACCTCTTATCAATGCTCTTGAGATCGCCGACGACTGACTCCTCGGCGCGGAGTATCGTGTCTGCTCCTAACCGAAAACTACGATCAGAGGCGGATCCAGCAATTTGGCAACATCAGATTTCTTCCATTTAAACCTATGCTAAATAATCGATTCTTGTCGGAGCACCTGGCCCCTCCAAGAATCGATACATTTCCATAGGTTTAAATGGAGGAAATCCGGTGTTGCCAAATCGCTGGATCCGCCAATGACTAGGATTCCAGTGGTCTCGCGTGCTTTGTGATATATCGATTGATCTGCCATTGAAACCTATGGGAGAGGATCGATAAACAGGGTGTTCGCAAGGAACGTCTTAATAAACGATTCTTTACCATAGCTTCAAGTGGGTAAGTATCGATAGTCGATCATTCACGCCTCGCCTCTGTAGGATTCTCATATCGTCGTTTTCCTCACGAAAGGACGCAACTCCGTTTCAATGTTGCCAGATATCCCCTCGCAAATCACGTTTTTTACCGGGGCTTCTCGAGCTGAAAAGTTCACAAAATTTTCTTCTAAGATCATGCAAAAATCAGGAACATTTTGGAAAAAGATTGAACAGATGTACGTTCTTGTAAAAATTGAATTTTTTTAGGGAAATTTTGCAACCTTGGAATAGAGATACGCTCCCTCGCCCGGGAGACGACGATATGCGGTCCGATACTTGAGACTATGTCGGTATATCTTGACACACGGGGGTATGGATTCGATACCCGTGAATCGATCTAAAAATAAAAATGTGAATCGATTGTCGTGAGTTGATCGACGTGAGCCGATGGATACGGATTCGATCGACAAATTATTAAAAAACCGGTGTCGATTCGAACGACGTGGAACGATTGGAAAACAAAAACGTGACCGATCAACGTGATTCGATTGACAAACCTGAATCGATCGACAACCCTGAATCGACCGAAAAACCGTAAATTGACCGACATATCCGTGAATCGATCGACGATTATGTGAATCGGTGGATAACTCCGTGAATCAATCAACGATTATGTGAATCGGTGGATAACTCCGGGAATCGATCGACACAGCCATAAATCGATCAACAAACCCATAAGTCGATCGGTAAACCTGTGAATCAAAAAGCGATGTGGTCTTAAAGGTAATTTTACAATGAGCGCACCCGTGAATTGATTGACAAACCCATGAATGATCGATAAACATGTGAATCGATCGATAAACCTGTGAATCGAGCGATAAACCTGTGAATCGATCGATAAACCTGTGCATCAATCAACAATTCCGTAAATGTATACAAGTTTTTAAAACGTGCGAAGAGATAAAGAATTCGAAAACTTTTTAATACATTTTATTTGATTATGACATTGTTAAAGTCTCACTAATTACGAGGAAAAATGAAGGGATGCGATTTAAGCAGAAATATTTTTGAATTTGTCGTCAAAAAGGTTTTCCCCAAGTAGGTTCCTGCTGAATTCGAACGACCTTCTTAATGATATAGCATCTTATCTTCTGAATTTTAATCTTTTAGCGGCAAAGACACGAATATTTATGCTTGAATCAAGTCAATTTTTCCAGTGCATTAGGCGTTTCTCCGCAGCAAGGTAGCAACTAATTGTAACAGCGGGGCGATTGTCGAATCGTTATGGAAAGACCTTGATCGATAACTCCCTATCTTTACAATGCTATATATCGATCAAGGTCATTCGATAACAGTGGCGTGGCGTGAATTGCGATGTATCGATTGTAATGCTCTTTAAACCTATGGTAAAGAATCGATTATTAAGGTGTTCGCGGCGAACACCCTATTTATCGATCATTTTCCATAGATTTAAATGGCATACCAATCGATAGATCGCAAAGCACTCCACGCCACTGTTCGATAACGATTCAACAATTGAGCCGCAGGTCGACTGTGTTAAGAACGTTGAGGACTCTCCCAAAGGAAGGAGCCGGCAGCAGTGGGTAAAACAGCAAGTGAATTTGTAAGCTGTGTCCAGACCAGCGCGTTGCATGCTTTCCTTGAAAATTCTCAGATATATTCATGAGAGGGTTTGTAAAATATGCGACTCTTATCTTTGCAACACAAGTTTAAACGATCGAGTTGGGATCAGTTGCGATTGTTGAGATATTAAATGGCGTTCAGAGGAGTGGCTTGCGTATTTAAGCGCGTCATCTTTATCTATAGATGAAGTGTCTTTTCTCGTATTCACACATCGAGATGTTAGAATAATACTCTGAAAAAAGTTTGCTCCCGTGATGGTCCCTGAGGTCCTCTCATCCATCGACAGTCACACATGATGGGCTACGCTTTGTAATTAAGAACCAAAAATTCTGGCTTATTTTAGAAACTACACATGGCCCATTAGTTTTCCTGTGCAGATCGGTGCTTTGACGGATGAACCAGAAATAGTGGTTCCTTAACCCTAGTCTGCCAAACAGGGGTTGAGACAATGGATCAAATGGACTGCATTTTGCAATTTGGACCTATAAATTCCGGCCCGGTTTAAAAACAACGTATGTGCCATTAGTTTCCCTATGCACATAAGTGTTTTTTCAGATGAGCCAGAATTTATAGGTCCAAATTGCAAAATGCAGTCCAAATGGTCAGTTGCCATACGGCCAGACGACGGACGCGACGGTGGCCGTTTGCGGTTCTCATGAATATGTTGAATGTTGGCTAATCTAAACTTTGGAATGAAAAAAAAATATTAGGCCTAGAGGTCTAATTTTAGGTTTCCCTCATGTAAAACATCATTTAAGATACGTGCATGCCTAAAAAAAAGTAATAAAAAAGAAGATCCAATTTATTTTAAATACGGGTCTAAATTGACCCAGATTGGCAAACTAGTGGAAAAAACTTGTTTTGCAGACTAGGGATAATGTAAAATTTAGTCTACACTGGGAAAAAAACACATTCTAGACTCTGAAAAACATGGACAGTAAAAAATACTCTTAATTCAATCAGAATTAAGCTTAAATCAAGAACCAAGCCTCTTAATTTGAGCGGATTTCCTTTTGATTTAAGCTTAAATCTGATTGAATCAAGAGTCCTTTTTCCTGGCAATGTTTCCAAGAGTCTGGACTCTAGACTCAATGTGTTTTTTTTCCAGTGTACATGTATATTTTCTGCGCTTAATTCTTCAATTTTCATGAACTTTTTTGAGCATGTCACGATTTTTTGGTCCTCCGAGACTGCGTAGATCCTGACTAAATCCATCGCAATGGCTTAAATCAACGCAAGGTCAAGACTCGGTCCTTCATCCACCTCGTTGCCACTTCTCTTGAAAAATCCGCCAATCAACGCTCGCAAAGGCAAGCTCACGAAATATTTAATTCGTTGGTTGGATGTCGCAATGCTGCATCACCTCCTATCTCGTCTTCCCGCTCAACACAAATTGGTCAGCTTGCGACTAAACTTGACCTTTGACATCGAGAATGCCTGTTGCCGAATCGTATCTTCGAGAGGTGCCCAAAAAGTTCGGTGGGCCGCGCATGCTCTTGTTGGTCAAGGCAAATTTATGGACTAATTTTCGCGACTGCGAAACTGCCACCATCGCAGGGGTTGTGTTTTGGTTTATTCGATGAATCAAGATTGTCACTTGCTCGGTCCAGACTGAAACGGGTAATCGGCTGTTGTAAAATGTCTTGATATTTGTTCTGTAGGATTAATATTTCAGCATGAGGAACCTTCCTCGCCTTTCGAGGTCTGAAAGGAACGTGAAAAAGAAATTTCGGTCTGATGACAAGTAGAAGGTTCGGAAAGAAGAAACAAGTTTTTTTTTGGAAAACAAAGTGTCTGTTTGTTGTAGATTTTTTTCTCATTTCATGAGGAAAAATCTTCTTTGTAAAATTTTAATTTTGATAAACCGCTTTTCTTAATAAGAAAAAACTCCTCTTTTCGGTCTAGAGCATGCTTGTTACAAGCCCATAAAAATTATAAAAACAATAAAATAAACCCTAGGTATTACTTGTTTCTAACGTAAAATGTGGTATCTATCGAGATTTAGGAAATGATTCCGCATGTAGTAACAAGCAACAACATTTACTGTAAAGATACAGTAAATGTACTTGGTAACAGCGAAAGCGGCGATGAGACTGAAGGAGCGCCTTCAAAACCGGAGAGTAGGCAATTTCATGACACCGGATGACACGTTGCTTTACCTCATATTTTGCAGTAAATTTTTCACATTTCTTTCATCTCGAACGCGTTCATCAAGCTACACATTGATACAAGTCGGCAGTGAAAAGCTGGAAATACTAGTTAAGAGTTCAATTTTTATGCCGGAGCACACTTTTTACTTTCTGGATTGATTGGTTAAAACTTGCATTAATGTAACCGCATTATAGTAAATTTTGCAACCGATATCTTATTTCTACACGATGGCTGAAGTCAAAAAATCGCACCTTTATTGCAGCATTTAAAAACTGATAATGTTTTATTTTTTGAAAACGAACTAACCAAAATAACTTCAAATAATTAAAAGAAAATTCCTAGAAAAACTGTCGATTGGTTCCTTTTTTATTCTTTGTTTACTGAAAATAATGACAGCCATACGCGTCGTTGCAAGCGATGATACGGATTTTCCAATTTTAGCTGTTGATACGCAAACTATACCTCATTTTATATTAACCGAAATCGATACACCTCACCGCGACGGTGTCAATGGCCCCAATTGATACCAACAATAGACTCAAATCAAGAACCAAGCCTCTTAATTTGAGCGGATTTCCTTTTGATTTAAGCTTAAATCTGATTGAATCAAGAGTTATTTTTCTTGTCAATATTTTCAAGAGTCTGGACTCTAGATCCAATGTGTTTTTTTTCCCAGTGCAGTCCATTTGATTTAACTGAGTTTCGCATCTGGAAACTGAAATACGTCAGAGCGGTCTTGAATCAGACTACTTCCTTTGAATTCTCAGTTCAGTTAGACACCGTGAAGAAGTAAAGTAATCTCGGAGGAATGAAAATGAATAAGCAACTTCACGTGTATTATAGGTGCGTGCTTGCCTACCCGAAATTTTGAAGGCGTTCGCCATAACCAGCCGTTATTATTAGTTCTTAGCACAAGAGGCAATTAATCGGATCCTGAATGAGATTGAGTCAGTGTTGTCTCGTGGCTCAGCATCATCAGAATTGCATTATTTCTAATTTTTGCTCAATAATTTACTTTTTTAATTTTAAAATTTTCCGAAAGGAATGAAGTATATAAAATCGTAATGTTGCCGTCCTAGACGTTCTACTGACAAACTTGCGGAAATTAATTAGACTGCATTCCTTTTACACCAATTTATATCCGTCGCAGGCAAATAGTCAAATCAGGCGTTTTGTTGAATGCCTAGGCAAATAAGTTAAATATTCTTATTTAGGCTAAAATTCTGATTATTTTGCTGACTGTGGATGAAATAATTTTCTGATCATGTGGAGAAGAATTCCCTGTAAAAAATTGCTCCGTACGATCATAAATACGTTTTTCCTAGTCCTTTAATGCGAATTTATTTCAAAATATGTAGTATTTCGTAAAGTAAAAAGTTTTCACAATTTGGAAGGATGAAGAATTATGAGGAGCATTTTTGAACTGGAAATAAAATGACAGTTTGTACTTTAACGGATTTTTTGCCACAAAATATTGAAAATTAGAAAGGTCTTTGTGAAAACGTAACAAATCTCGTAAACTCTGAAAATTTAAGTATGTACCTAGGCATTTGATAAAACTCCTGATCTGCCTGCAACATATCCAAAATTGGTCGTAAGCAAGCTTTGAGACGAGTCACCTCAATTCGTTGGAAGTAAGAAACAACAAATGAAGAGAACGCGGTGATTCACCACAAGTGCTGCAGTCTACTGGAGCGAGTCTAAGCTAGTCTGAACTGCCTGAAACGAGTTCAAGCGATTGAATCTAGATGGCACTACACTTACCTCGTAGTCAATGCAGGATTATGCTCCGCAGTCCAGAAATGCAGGGTGACAGAGATTATAGTACATATCGATCGATTTACTACAGAGTTAATCGCTGCAAGACCTTTTTCATGTTTGTTTTACGTGACCTCTAGACATAAAAATATTCCTTCATTTTTCTTTCATCGAGATTCTGTGATGGTATTACATTGATATCAAAGGATTTCCTATACACGGAGAAAAAACTTCGTTCGTGGGACCCGAAGTTGAGGTCATATGGATCTCTGAAGTTTTCAGATCACGTATCTAAAAACTTTAGGTCCAGCTGCCGAAGTTCGGGTCAGACATCTGAAGTATTTCGATCTATACCGAAGGGTTCGGGTCACACATCTGAAGTACTCCGGTACATACCGAAGTGCCTCGATGTCTGACCCGAACTTCGGCAGCTGGACCTCAAATTTTCGGATGCGCGATCAGAAAACTTCAGAGATCCATTTAACCTCAACTTCGACTCCCATGCACGAAGCTTTTTTCTCCGTGCACGGTTATATGAGAGACATCCCGCTTTTAAATCAGGGTTTTAGTCAAGAAAATTAACCGAGCATTGACTTTAGATACGATTTAATCAGTGAAACTACGAAATTTAATCGGTTTATTGCATGAGCATTTTAAATGATATTTGCAGAGAATAAAATGTAGCGCATGTTGACAACAGTCTAATTTTGAACATTAGCTGGGCAATGATTCTCTTAACGAAAGGGAGGGAGCATTTGATAAGACCAACATAAGAGTATAATGTAACATTGTAAAACGTAAACGAAGATGGCGACGAACGACACTTCATTGGCAACAAAGAGCGGAGCATTGCAAGCTCACACCTCGCGCTATCGCGCCTTCGATTTTGCAAAATGCAACATGGACATTCATGGTGTATGAATAGTTGTATCTCTGCGCCATCATCAATACTCGCTGAGGTGTCTGTTATTTTTGATATTTGAGAAGAGTTAATATTAAGATTGCTCAAAATATATTGCCTAAATCACTAATCATGGGGAGGGGGGTGTTCAGAGGTCCTTTAAGCGCTCTGCAGGGCGCTCTCAAAAATTTGTTATTTTGATCTAAAATGAAAAAAAAAAAAACTTATTTTGCATTTAATTTTGAAATTCATTTCTATCCAGAGGTCTTCAAAATTTTTCACTCTCATGGCGAATTAAGCTTGCTTTTTCCATTTTTCAATTTGATTGCTTATTCCTACTTTTACGGAAAGAGGAATATTTATCCCTATTATTTTAAGTCGAGGGATTTCCGTTTCACAGTTTTCAAAGAATGCTAGTTTGGGAACTACATTTTCTATTTCATTGCAAGAACTCAGTATTTGCACACAAGAAAAAAAATTGAGGTCAACCAAATTCAAATTTATTTAGAAAACAGTTTAAGGTAATTTTTAGAAAGTTAAGAACCCAATAAAAAGAGTTCACTGCAACATCTAAGTACATACACGGGCGATGGAAATAATAAGCCTCCATCAGTTAGCCTAACACTAATAAATTTGACAAGGCTAAAAATGAAAAAAAAAAAATTATAAATCAATACTTATTTCACTCAATTGTATATAGCTGGGTAAATATTTATGATATGACGTTGAATTTTTGTTCAATGTTGATTTTTCTTCATACTTAAAGGGAGGCCTCTCAGAAAATTATCAATTAAATCGAGCAAACTACAAAATAGAGCCGAACATCGACACTAAACTCGAGCATGTTTCTGAAAACTTTCACAAATCGTCGCTCTCCAGACATGTAGGCGTAACTACACTGTCGTGCTAAGGAACAACGCCGTATGAGCCTTCAGGCGTTGCCAAATTTCCTCTGATAAATCGCGGATTTTCGGGAATCTCTGCAGCATTTTTCCTCCGAGTTTTCAGAGAATTTCGTTCGTAATTTGATCTAAATCGTCCAAAAATTTGAAATGAAAAATTTTGATAACTTCCCTGAAAAATACACATTTATCGGAGGAAATTTGGAAACTCTCAAATGTTCATGCGGCGTTTTTCCTTAGCACAGCAGTACACTCTGCAATGGACCATGTCGTCCATACAATTCAATGCTTCTCCGGGCTCATCTCAAAGTGTCAGAGGCGGATCCAGCAGTTTGGTAACACCGGATCCTCCTCATTTAAATCTATGCTAAATATTCGATTCTTGTCGGAGCACCTGACCCCTCCAAGAATCGATTCATTTCCATAGGTTCAAATGGAGAAAATACAGTGTTGCCAATTTTCTGGATCCGCCAATGCAAAAGTGTAGCCCTTTTTGTGAGCCGGGCGACGGAACGGACGTATTTATGCTAAAAGGAACTATTTCACACGCAATCCCTATGCACATACTTCCTTTCAGCATAAATACGTCCAAATGTTGAATTCGCTACAGTTCATAATGCCACGCATCGCTCTCACTAAAAACAGGTCCCTCTTCCCTCGGCCATTCGTCGAGATAGCACACCCCCTCGTCATCATCAACGGGATCTGGAGCGATGTCGACGTCATCCTGTCTAGCGATGACGTCATCCGTTCCACCGGTCTCCGCGCCCGTCGACTCGTCCTCGTCCCGCGGGAACCGTTCCGGAGTTTCCCCGGCCGTGAAGTCGGTTCGCAGTGTCGTCTGGGAGTCCAGGTACTTCTGGAACTGGTTCTTGAAGAGCTGGTCCGTCGCTTTCCACACGCCGATCGTGTACCACCCGACGAAGAACAGGATCACGAGGCCTTGCAAAGTCCCCGTCAGAGCCATGTTCGGGCGGTTTCCGGCGTGACGGTGCTCGATTCAAGTTCTCGGCTGAGAGTTTACACAGGTTAAATTGCAGTGGTGCGCACCGCGTGGGTTCACACAGTCTGAAATTAATGAGGAAGTCTTGGTGTTAGATATGAGAAATAATAGCTGCTCCGCAGCCCATGACAAGATATACAATAAAAATCAATTTGAAAGGGGGTAACAAGGCTCAAAGTTCACAAACAAGACCCAAGCGTTTCGCCTGAAAATTCAGCCATCCTCAGTTGAATAAATATAACATTGGCGGATCCAGCAAATTGGCAACGTTGCTTTTCTCCATTTAAACCTATGGAAATGTATTGATTGGGGGCAAGGTGGGGGAAAGTGCTCCGAAAAGAATCGATTATTTAACATAACTTCAAATGGAGAAAATCCGGTGTTACCAAATTGTTGGATCCGCCTCTGAAATAAAAAGAGTGTCAGACGTAGTGTTAGAGTGTTTTTTTATTGTATTTTATTTTATTGTAGAGTACTAGACTTAGTGTTAAACGTAACCTAACGTCACGTAGTCACTTTACATATCGACGGTGTAAGTTGGCAATCACATAACTCGGCTTGAAATGTCGCAGACTTCCCGTCATACTTTATTTTTTATACGGAAAACTACTCAACGGCAATTCTTTAAAACTGCCCTGACTATTCTTCTCTGTGCGAAGAAAATCCTGCATAAACTTCAAGGAATAATGTCACTTTGTTCTCCTTTCAAAAAATAACACAGAGGCGGAGATTTTCAGACACCGCAAACGAGTTATGTGATTGCCGATTTACTCCGTCGATTTGTAAAATGCTGTCAACCTTCTCTTCAATTTTGATTATTCACAGTCAATCAACGAAAGCTCATTTTATCCGTGCGAAACTTTTTTAATTCACAACAGCTTTTGAGTAAATTGAGTTCATATAAACGGCAACTCTTTCAGTTTCGCTTTAGAATACGATGGCCGAACCAAGGAACTTTAAATACACAATCTGATCCAGCAGCCGGCTCTCTTCCCTTTGAAATAAGACGTAGAGACCAAAAACAATCTTATTATTTTTTCAAAATAATATTCCTCGGAAAGTAATTATGCGGCTCGATTTAAAACACAAAATTATGAAACTTTTTGGTCAACATCGTTCCACAAGGCCACTCACAATGAAAACGTACTAAACAGCGCCTTCAAATCAATCCGTAAACTTAATGCAAAATTCTGATACCACTATACGTGCGTCAAGGTAGTCATTTTGCATACCCGACCATTTGGAGGCGATTCATTGACTGCAGGCAACGGGGTACGAATTACCCCGGAGCCAAAGCCGGGGGCCACCCCCCTGGCAACTAAGGAGCCAAAGCCGGGGGCCGCCCATTAAGAGGCTTGGTTCTTGATTTAAGGTAGATTCTGATTGAAACAAGAGTCATTTTTCTTGTCGATGTTTTTAAGAGTCTGGACTCTAGATTCAATGTCGTTTTTTTCCAGAGTATGATTCTTGAGGTTCACTAGAGATCCGAGTGTTGACTTACTAGGAGCAGGTGGGACGTCTACTTGTCCGTGGGGAGGAACATGATCTTGAGCATCTGACTGATCTGCGGCCAGAGCATGGTGAGGAAAACGAAGAAGGAGTTGGTGAGGACGAAGATGTGCATGTAGGTGACGCCCTCGCCGGATCGCAGCCAAGCGCCGAACCCCCCGTTGTCATCCTCCTCCTCCTCCAAGTTGGCGCCCGCCCCCGCTTTCGCCTTCGCCGCCGCCTCCGACTTGAGCTTCTCCTTCCCGGCGTCCACCCTACCCCTCTTGGTCATATCCACACCGGCCACGACTAGGGTGTGCTGTCCTCATTCAGGCCGACCGCACGCAAGATCAACTGCAACAAAATCAGAAGATCTGTGACGATCATGATATTTCACCGACTAAGCCAGTAGGAGTACGTTCAAGCGAGAAGGATCAATGGATCAAAGGATCAATGGAGATGTTGCATGTGGGAGGAATTTGCGATTTGACTATTGCTTCTTAGGTAAAAGTTTGCGAGAATCACGATGGTGCCACTGGTTTTCTCTGAAATTAACTCCCAAGCTTAAAAAAAGCTCTCAAGTTGAGGCCAAAATGGAGGGGATATCCCACGCTATTCTGAGAGTCTACCTCTACATCAAGACAAACTCTCCATGCAAAGATAGGGAGAAAATACATTAACAGGGCTGCCAGCTTATTTGGGGACTCTAAAAATGAAATCACGGCAACCCTGCTTATGTATTTGCTCCCTATCTTTGCATGGAGAGTTTGTCTTGATGTAGAGGTGGACTCTCAGGATAACGTGGGATATCCCCTCCATTTTTCCTCAACTTTGAGAGCTTTTTTTGAGCTTGGGAGTTGATTTCAGGGAAAACCAGTGGCACCATCGTGTTTCTCGCGAACTTTTATAAAAGAATCAATAGTCAAATTGCAAATTCCTCACGCATGCAACATCTCCATTGGGGGAGAGGCATCAAGCCAGGAGCCAGGTTACGTAACTCAAAACGAGGGGATAAGATGTTTAGTTTATACNGGGGGGGGGGGGGGGGGGGGGGGGGGGGTGCGATCAAAGAATCAGCTAAAATATTGCACTTGCGCCGAGTTTATCAGAAAGGCACCAACCCACATCAAAATGAAACTTAGAAAAAGAGGTTTGAAGTTTTATTCCTCCGTAAGACTCAATGTAGAAAGTAAACTTTATGAAAGTTTTTCACAAACTAATAAATTTTTTTAATTTGAATTTTTGGCAGGAGAATATATACAACTAGAGGAACTTAAAAACATTCTAAACTCAATTTTTTCGAAAATGTAGGTTGGTTCCTTCCTGATGAACTCGGCCCCGTTTGATACTGTCTTCAAGAGGAAAGGACTTCAATCACGATAGCTGGAGGGTTTTTAGTCAAAGGAGCTTAGGACGGATCCTCAATTTTTTAATTTAGTGTAAAAAAAATTGACAAATAAGGATACACATTGAAAAAAAAAACAAAACAAAAAAAAACATACAGTTTTGAGCTGCCACTAATTTTAAGCTAAAAATACCGTGAATGTCCTACCCGAGTTGATATAGAGGTACGTAAAGATAACTTGGGTCAGGTTGCCATTCTATATTTATTTTTGCAGCTGCTCAAGAAAAAATCCTGTGACGGATGAAACCCCCTGTCTTTCAGTTTTTTTTAAAAGTAATTTTTCACCTTATTTTATGACTTCTTCTTTTCTTCTGATCTTAGTCACTAACTAACTAACCTAAGGGTGTATGTGAATACTTCGCCTGAAAAAGAAGAGTGCCAAATGAAACAGGAACTTTGGCACTGGCGTTGTACAGTCCGCTGTTTGAAGAACGTAGTTCTGATAATGGGTTATAGGACATTTCGTCAACGATTTTTGTCCGCGCACCTGTTTTTTCCAGTACTTTACGTCCACGCGTTTTTTCGGCACGAGAGTTTTGGTACGTCCACGTGCCAGTTGAGACCCAAAGTTAATTGGCCCACTTGTAAATACAAACGACAATTGCTCACGACGTTTTTGGATGAAAATATATAATGTTTTGGAAGAATGAGAGTTTGCTTGTTTTTTTTTTTTTTTTTTTTTTTTTTTTTTTTTTTTTTTTTTGTCTGTTTGGTCCAACTGAGAATAATATATAGTTGAGAGTTTTGATAAAAAATGGGGGAGCGTCAATTCCATGAGACAAAATTCACTAAAACTCTCTACACCTCTTTGGTGTAACAGGACTTAATTATTTTTTAAGAAATTCCCACCTTATTATACCTGAACCGGTTGGACCTCTATATTTGCCTCAGCTAAAGGCTCTTATATTTTTCCTGTGTACGATAAGTATCTTGATTTATTTTACGAGGAAAGATCTGTATTTTTAAAGGAAGCCTGTCATTCTTAATACGTTCAATTACGTATAATACTGTGCAACACCTCTGTTGTGAAATAGTTGCTTCAGGCGCAACGCGCATGTGCGCCTTCAAACCCAAGTGGATACTTCAAGCATTGTGCAATGCGTGAAGTATCTACTTAGGTTTGTAGGCGCCAGTGAGCCTCTCGCGCTGGCAGCACGCCGCGGCTCCGCTCTGTTAGGCTGTATATTTTTATATTTATACTCGCATAGTCAGCGTTTTTTAACTCATGATTTTGAAATCTTTGCATACTCTGTATTGATTATTCTCGTTTAAATTGATGGGGAGAAAATATGTATCAATTTATCAAAGGAGAATAATAATATAATGTGTGTGTTTTAAATATTGGTGGTTCCGTGTCAAATTTAATGATTTCCAAAGCACTTTAATTTTTTATTTTATATTTTGTGCTTTTATTGTTCTGCAGCGAGGTGTACGCGCAACCAAACGCTCAAAATTTGACGTATTTGACTCTAAAAAGGTCGATGTACAAATGGGTTAAAACTAAAGATTGCGGGCTCCTTGGTTTTTTCCCCTCTTTTATTCTTTTTTGCAGTTTCTGACGGCACAACTGTGGCTCATTGAGATTAATGTCGCTTGGAAAAGGTTTTAAAATATTTGTCATGTTTTAAAAATATAAATGTTTTCAAAATGAAGTAATAATTTCGTAAAGAAAAAATTAAAAAGAAAAAACAAAAAAGTACCTATACATATATAAGGTATATTGTACATCGAAGATTTTAAGGATAGAAATAAAACCAAACATTCACTAATGACAATTTAAAAAGTAACAACACTTCCTTCTCTCTCAATTTCTCATTTCCATATTGTTAGTATAATTTTATATACGCATTAAAATATAACGCTTGGACCAAGAAACTGTTGCTTATTTTACGTGTGGGCGTAAACTACTGGACAAAAAATCGTTGACGAAATGTTCTGAAACCCTGATAATGAACTTCATGAACGTTAGATCTGTCATGTTCAGGGCTCAAAAGCCTCAAGAATTCACCACTCTTGTATTTTACCACTTAGTTGTTTTCCACATAATTTTAGAATAAGGAACTACTATTTTCGGCTCATTTCAGAAATAGTGTATGTACCACTAGTTTCCCTACACACATAAGTGATTTTATGAATGAGCCAGAAAGACTAGTTCCCTCTTGTAAAATGTGGTCCAATTCTCTCTGAGGAAGGTACATGCGACTATTGTATAAATACGCGTCATTAATTTTACAATCGAATCATTCATTTCAGGCCTCACTAAAGTGGGAAATTTTCCATCGGAAGAAAAGCGTCTATCTAGGAACCTGGGAAGACTGCTGAATTTTCCGGAGGCTAATACGGTCCATAAAAATATTTTATGTGCAAAATAATTAAAGCGCCTCAAAGAAACTTGGATTGCGGTGCACGCAAAGAAAAGAAAAAGAAATGAATGCGAAACCTCAATATTTTAAAACCCAGCCCTTCATATCTAATTAATTTCGCCGAAGAGACCAAAAAGGGCTGAGCGCTGGACACAAACCCTTTAATTTCAGTGGTCTAACCGCTGCACCGATTCCATTTGGACGTATTTATGCTAAAAGGAACCGTGTGCATAGGGTTTGAGTGAGACATAGTTCCTTTTGGCAAGAATACGTTCATTTCTAGGTTGCGCTCCTTCGCCAATTGCCGCTTGTGCTGTGGTTTGTGGGTGTTGACCACTAGGTAGAGCGGATTGCCTGCTTGCCCCTCGCACAAATTAATCCACTCCTCTCGGCACTCAGTCGTCCGCTCATCGAATTCATTCATCTCACCAGTAGCGTGGCATGATTCGATATAAATCGATATTTTCCTATTTGAAGCTATGGTAAGAATCAATTATTAAGGTGTTCGCCCCGAACGCCCTGTTTATCGATCCTTTTCCATAGGTTTAAACGGCATATCAATCGATATATCGTCACCTTCCAGGCAAAGTATCACAAGCGCCATGCGACGTTTAAAAATTTCCGCCGCCATTTTATTTTTTTACAGAGAAATTGTTCAACGCAGCTGTCCGAAAATTTCACTGAATTTTCTTTGTGCTGCCGATAAAATTTAGTGAAATTTCCAAACAGATTCAACCAACAATTTCTCAGTAAAAAAATAAAATGGCGGTGGAAATTTTTAAACGTCGCATGGCGCTTGTGATACTTTGCCTGGAAGGTGACGATATCGCAATTCACGCCACGCCACCGCATTTCACCCGGTGTTTCATACCCTACTTCTGTCTACGTTGCTTCTCAGGGCACTACTTTTTAATGCCTTTCTGGAAAACCTGCGGGCCGATTATTGAATTGATAGACAAAGCTATAGACAAATAATACAAAAGAGATACGAAGGGATACTATTGGTGGAAGCAGGTGGTTGCAATGGACAAAGGCGGCAGGTAATAGATGAAGTAACGGCAACCCACGAGGGACCCGATAGTTATTCCATCACTTTCTCCCTTAATCTACAGGAACCACCCATTTCAACCAAGAGGATCGCTCCATACTTTATGTGCCTTCTTTGTCTATCGCCTTGTCCATGAATTTCAATAATCAGCCCGCAGGGTTTGATGTTGGAATTTGTCGTTTCCTGGACGAGGGAACGTAACTCCATTCAAAGGTTGTAAAATTGACTTAGGAAATTCATGTTTTTCACATGAGGGCACACGTGCGATTTTTGTCCAAAATTCGTCCGGTTTTCGCATGAGATCGGAGGGAAAATAATTGGAATTTTCAGTTAGAAATGCTCAATATTCTCCTGGTAAAAATGAAATTTTCTAGAGTCAATTTGGCAACATTGAAATGTAGTTCCGTTCTTTCGTGGGAGGAACGATGAATTACAGTAAAGTTTCCATTATCCGCAGTTGTTGGGATTGGAGGCATCGCGGATAATTGGACGTATTTCTGTCAAACGAAACAGATGTGCGTTACGACGTGCGCCCTGTTATGCATATATTCTTATGGGTCTCAGGGATCATGTCTTGTTGCAGATAGTTCCGTTTGGCAGAAATTGAAAGCAGAAATACGTGAAATTGAGAATCGTGGACACAATCTGAAAACACGAAACGCAATTGGAAACAAGTATAAACTCAGAAAGACCATTTTAGAACTAATCATGTAAACACGTATCGGAAAAGAATTATCGATGGCTAAAGTGCGAAACCACGCATCTCTATTGCCGTGTTACCACGTTTCTGCTCTTATTTTATTTTTTTGGAGAGAAAAAAAAATAATCTTTATAACTCGAAATTTATGTAGAAAATTCTGTTACAAGAGCAGGAAAATCGAGGCAATTTTCAGGGGAATGGAGATGTTGCATGTGTGAGGAATTTGCGATTTGACCATTGATTCTTATGTAAAAGTTCGTGAAAAATACGACGATCTCACTGGTTTTCTCTGAAATCAACTCCCAAGCTCAAAAAAAGCTCTCAAGTTGAGGCCAAAATAGAGGGGATATCCCACCCTACTGAGAGTCCACCTCTACATCAAAGCAAACTTTCCATGCAAAGATAGGGAGCAAATACATTAGCAGGGTTGCCGTGTTTTCAGTTCTGGAGTCCCCAAATAAAGTGGCAGCCCTGTCAATGTATTTGCGCCCTATTTTGCATGGAGAGTTTGTTTTGATGTAGAGGAGAGGTGGACTCTCAAGGTAAGGTGGGATATCCCCTCCATTTTGACCTCAAATTGAGAGCTTTTTTTAAGCTTGGGAGTTAATTTCAAAGAAAACCAGTGGCACCATCGTGTTTCTCACGAACTTTTACATTAGAATCAACAGTCAAATCGCAAATTCCTCACACATGCAACATCTCCATTGCACCGACTAGTTTTCAATAAAATCGATATGGAATGACAGGAAGTCTGTCACGTCGCAAACGGAGATATGTGGTTTTACTGCAATTGCTTGAAAACTTCCTTAATTTTACTTCATTGCCGGAAAAAAATTCTGTACAGATTTTAATCCGTAAAGCAGGCCCTCTTCTAAAAGCTAAATCAGGAACGGAAATTTTGAAACTCTGCAATGGAGATTCGTGATTCTGCACCGTAGCCATCTAAATGCAGTCAGGCTGATTCTAGGTAAATTTGTCTATTCTATTCTATTCGAGCTAGTGAGAAATTTGAAACGTACCTTTGCTACAAACTTAAAGCAATTGGATGACGAGTTGCTGGAACAAGAAAAAGCTGACGGGAGCCTCGCAAGACGATCTCTTCTGCGCCAAAAACTTCCCACAAGAAAGACGGGAGGGGGTGAAAATACAGCAACGAAACGAAAAAATTTCACCTTGAAACAGCGACCGGCAAAAAAACTTGCCAGAAGGACGCACGGAAAAAGTCTGGACTAGGATGTTGTCCACGAAACTGCCGCACTGATATGGAGTGTTTCCTACCATACAGCCGTTCAATCATCGATCCGCGAGGGTGCGAACAACTCATGAACCATCAAGTTCAAGCGGAGGCTACGCTCGACATTTCAAGAGTTTTTGGTGTTTGGTGTGATCGAAAAAAGTGTGATCCAATTGGATTAACGATGACATGTAGGGTTTCTCTTTTTCCTCCGGTGCCAACTTGTCGTGGAATATGAATGGAGATGTTGCATGTGTGAGAAATTTGCGATTTGACAATTGATTCTTATGTAAAAGTTTGGGAGAAAGACGATGGTGCCACTGGTTTTTTCTGATATCAACTTCCAAGCTCACAAATAGCTCTCAAGTAGAGGCCAAAATGGAGGGGATATCCCACGCTATCCTAAGAGTCCACCTCTACATCAAGACAAACTCTCCATGGAAAGATAGGGAGCAAATACATTGACAGGGCTGCCGTGTTTTCAGTTTCAGAGTCCCCAAATAAAGTGGCAGCCCTGTCAAGGTATTTGCTGCCGTGTTTTCAGTTTTAGAGTCCCCAATTAAAGTGTCAGCCCTGTCAATATATTTGCTCCCTATCTTTGCATGGAGAGTTTGTCTTGATGGAGAGGTGGACTCTCAGAATAGCGTGGGATATCCCCTCTATTTTGGCCTCAACTTGAGAGCTTTTTTTGAGCTCGGGGGTTGATTTTAGATAAAACCAGTGGCACCATCGTGTTTCTCGCGAGCTTTTACATAAGAATCAATGGTCAGATCGTAAATTCCTCACACGTGCAACATCTCCATTATCTCTATAAATAGATCCGTTCTGCTTAGTGACGTCCCATTGCTCCAAATTTCCAAATCTGCATTCTATTGCACTGCCATGCTAAGGAAAAATGCCCGATGAAAATTCTCACGTTGCCATATTTCACCTCTTGATATATTCATTTTTGAGAAAAATAATGAATTGTTCTCCTTGAAATTTTCCGATTCTTTAGATCACATGAGGGAGGCAATTCTCCGAAAAATTGGACGGAAAATATTCTCGAGTTCTCCTGGAAAATCCGTGAGTTATCACATAGGAAACTTGGCACTGAACAGAGTTTCATACGATGTTCTTCCTTAGCACGACGCTGCGCACCACCGCGCCGCACACGGATCGAGTCATAAGATGTACTGAGAAAAAATTATGGTTATAATTACCATATTAGTGGTGTTCAGTATGAACTCTTAATTAGTAGTTGCCATAACCAATAATAGAGATATTTTTACCATTAAATGGTAATTTTACTACCGCACACTTGTAAAATTACGATTGCTCCGGTAAAAATATCACTATGGCCACTACTAATTAAGAGTGCCTATTGAACACCACTAATATGGTAATTATAACCATAGTTTTTTCTCCTCTATTGTCGGCCTCTATAGAGGCCGTACAAAACGTGGGAACTTTAAAAGCTTGAAACTCTGTTTATACAAGATGATTACAGGTGGTTATATTGGTTTAATCATAAAATTTTCTTTCCAAAGCACCGCTTAAAATTTTAAATTTGACGAAATAAATATCAAAATTGGCAGGTTTAGTTAAAAATTCAATGTCCGACCTCTTCTATCGACTGGATCTACTGTGCGCCGGGGTGAGCGTGGCTGGATAGAGGCGGGGTGGATTAAGAAAGTATCAGGTGTCCCCGTGTTCGGTCGTCAGGCCGCTCGGTGAAAAAAAGTCTCCATTATGTTTTTGAGGATTGATCATTTTTCCAATCCAAGTTTACCTAGACGCCGGCCGGGCTAGCCGCGGGGTCGGAGAACGCCATCAATCAAGCATATCGACAAAGTTTCTTAGGTATCGGTGAGCAAAATTGATAAGGGTGTGTATGGTTGCCGGATGCCTTTCGGTTCAATTAGTCCAGGGAGGACATGCAAGATGTAGAGAAACCCCTCTATTTTCCTACGAAAGCAGTCCGATAACGAGACACTGAGATGATATGAACTTTTTTGGAAATTACTCTATTTTGGGAATTTATAACATTCCAGTCAAAATTATTCTTACATAGAGATGCGAAGTTCGGCAACTGCCTCACACGGAAAGAAATTAAATGTTGATTTAGCATTTATACTGTTAAAAAGATGCCCGATAAGTTTCAAATGCTGATTTTACATTTTAACAAATGCTAACGTAACTACGCCCACTGCAAAACGTACAAATTAAAATGTTAAATTAGCATTTTTGTATTGTAAAATCAGCATTTGAAACTTGTCGGACATCTTTCTAACAGTATAAATGCTAAATCAACATTTAATTTTTTTTCCGTGCACTCGTGATACTTCTCTAATCATCCATGATCATTTTCTCCGATTGGGGAAATAGAGATAGCAGAATTGACCGAAAGGGATACCTTGTCAAAAAATGTATTTCTTCATTGCAGTGGATCGAAATCCCTGCTTTTGTTTGATTTTTTTAAAAAATGGAACCAACCAAAATACCACCCCTGACTTTTCTGTGAATATTTTTGCACAAATAAGGTTAAGTGTCGAAAAAATGTGTTTTTGATAAAAAGGTGAGTTGATTTGTCTTTTGGAAAAAAGAACCAAACGTGTGTGAAGTCACAACTTTTCGGGAATTACTCTATTTTGAGAATGTACAACATTGTAGTCAAAAGTATTCTTACGTATGGATGCGAAGTTTGGTAACTGCCTCAATTATGATACCTCTCTAATCATCCATGATCATCTGCTCTGACTGGGAAAATAGAGATAGCAAAATTGACCAAAAGGGACACATTGTCAAAAAAAGTACCTATTTCTACACTGCAGTGGATCGCAATTCCTGCTTTTGTTTGATTTTTCTAAAAAAATGCCTCGATGGTTGTTCACTCCCAATACGGATTCACTTTAATGATCAATTTCGTTAATTTTATTTATTTTGGCGAGTGGGAAGTTTGACTCGACGACGCGACGGATTTAATAGAAAACAATCTCTCCATGTAATGATCGATCGTTAATATCTCCCGAAACTAGTCGTTCCTGCAGTGATACTTTCCCCCAGCGGGAAACCGCTTCGCAAGCTGGTGAGATTAGAAACTTAACCGGGGATAAATGTTCCCGAGTTTTTACATCCCTCCCCCCGTCACCCCTATTCAACCCCCCAGCGGCGACTTACCACGAAAAACCGGGTCCCAAAGGTAGACGGATTGCTTCTCGCTCGGTCTCTGTTGAGTAGATTTCCTTGTCTGAAGCTGAGAAGTGAGATCCGTCAGAAATTTGCCCGAGAGGATTCTGAGTAGATAGGAAACGGAAGTTTGACCTGCTCCAAGGTTTCCTGCATTCGCAGGGGTATATTTTGCATATGCATGCTAGGAGAGTGTACTCTCCTTTATGAAAAAATTTAAGAGCGAATTCTTACACGGAAAACATATCTAATGTTGCTTTAGCATTTACGCTGTTGAAAAAATGTGCGACAAGTATAAATGCTGATTTTACAAAGAAAATATGCTATGTTAACTACGACCACGGTTGAATGAACAAATTCAATGTTTAGTGAGGATAATTTTAAATGTAAAATCAGCATCTGATACTTGTCGCACATTTTTTTGACAATGTAAATGATAAATCAACATCCAATTTTTTTCCGTGCATTTAACTATTAAATATCGATCGGTAGGGTCGAGGAATACCTCCGTACCTCCAATTGTGACTTCACACATGTTTTGTTATTTTTTCCACAAAAAAAATCAACCAACTTTTTTTTTCAAAAAAATTTTTTTTTCGATAGTTTTCCTTATTTATTCAAAAATATTCGCAGAAAAGTGAAAGTTGATAATTTTGTCAGTTTTATTTTTTAAAAAATCAAACAAAATTAGGTGATTCGAGTCATTACAATGGAGAAACACATGTTTCAACAATGTGTCCTTTTTGGTCCATTCTGCTTTCTCTAAATTTTCAGTCAGAGAAGGTGATCATGGATGACTAGAGAGTTAATAATAAGTAAGGAAAGGGCACTTATACTTTCTTGAAGATTCCTTACATCCCCGGTGGTGTATGTTCCCCCGCATATAGTAGGAAAGTACTGCAGAAATTCAAACGAGAATCCTTATTTTAATATTATTTGGATCGGATTTTGCAAATAGGAACCAGCGCGATTACAGTGTTTTCAAAGTCGTGCAACTTTTTTTTTCTTTTGACAATACATAATATATGAACAGTATTCACATTTACACAGTTATTTTTCTTTAAAATTGAAAATTTTTTATTGGGAAGAAAAAACTATTTGCTCTTCCGAATTTTTTAGATAATTATGAAGAAGCAATATTTTTAAAACACTGTAATTACGCTGGTTCATTTTTGCTACATGCGATCCATTTACCAAACACATGGAAAAAAATAGTGGTTTTATTAAAACCGCCAGGTGGAGTATAACGTAGGTACTTCGAGGCAAGGCTTTTAACATTCGTAATCGTAACATAGAACGCAGATCAATGATAAAATTGGTCCTAAAATTTTCCAACTTCAATTATCGGTAATCTTCGGGGATCTCTCACCTCCTAATATGAAAGCTTGATGAATTTTGGCTGTCAAAGGGATCCTCATCCCTCTCAAAGGAGTGCAAGTCTGTGTAGTTTGCATCTCTTCAACGAAGCAACCATTTTAATCCCTGATACAACTATTTCAACATGACGGAGCGGATATTGTCTACTTACTCAATTGAAGGAAAACTGATCGCGGTGCTTCATTATCCTGGGATATGTCTCTTTGGTTTATGGTTCTCTATGGTTAAACCAAACAAAAGGAACCAAGAGCATTTCAGTGTTTCTAGGATTGTGCAACTTACTTTCTTCGCAACAAAATTACTGAAATCATGCAAATAATAAAATTTACCAAAAGTAATTTTCGTCTTGAATTTTTAGTTTATCGGGAATAGAGATGACAATCGTTTAGATGATCAGTTTATATTTGCATGGTAAATAAAAATTCACCATCTTAGCACCATTAGAATGCTTTTGGGTCCTTTTCGCAA